ACCAACCCAGTAAACCATAATAGTGTGATATATGGTCGTCTTTACGCAGACTGAATATGAAACGCACGCATGCATTCATCAAACGCTTGAGCCTGAGTCTCTGCTGATCTGTCAGATCTATGAAGGCTGCTGAACAGTAATCGAAGAAAATGAGAGAGAGAGAGAGAGAGAGAGAGAGAGAGAGAGAGAGAGAGAGAAATAAATAGTATATTTATTGAGCGCTATTTATTGAGTGTTCTAGAATGAGGATCCTTTCAAGATAGATCGCTAGGATATACAGATTTACAACATAATTGTCCCTAACAGAAACAATAAAATTAACAAAATATACAAAACAAAGATTTAAAAAAATAAAAAAGAAAGAATTCAGCACAAATAAGCAAAGAAGGCTATATTCAAGGTTATATTCAAAACGAGTCTTTTAATGTCTTAATATATATATTTTTTTTGCATGAATCTTATAACTTTCAGTTGAAACAAACTATGATTATTTGTCAGACTTGAAACACACAGTCCTAAATTAAAGCTGGAGTAAATTCTTTACGGTGTTTTAAAGATGATCATTAGCATCATTATTGTTAAATATTATTTGTCAATTTGTGTACTCCATGTATGTACTCCAGCTTTAATTTAGGACTGTGTTTCAAGTCCGACAAATAATATCATAGTTTGTTTCAACTGAAAGTTATAAGATTCATGCAAAAAAAGAATTTACGATATTTTAAAGATGTTCAACGTAAAGGTATAGATAATTGTTCGCAGCTCGAGTTCGTTGCATCACACATCTCAATATGAACGGCCTACAGGTTTATCATTTCGCGAAATTACCCATTCACATCGTTATTGTCGTCGCTTCTGGCGCACCGCCAAACGCGAAGCTTGGTTCTCGCGATGAAACATGTCGACATCGAATTTATAATGCAAACATATGTGCACGCGAGACGTGGCAGTGATAGCGATCGACACGCGGCATGATTATTCTTTCTCGTTTTGTTTCGTTTACATCCATTACACAAAACGTGCAATTGTGATTCATGGCCAGCAAATCTTGCCAAAATGGATTACGCTTTCCGCAAATATGACACAGGCGATTTTCGAACATGACGTAAGTTCGCAGAATGCAATCCGGTACATAGTTGTAACTTTTCTTGTCGGAGACTCCACTATTATACCGGAGATCGATTGCCATCAAAATTGTATCTTGTAGTGCATTCTTTAAAAAAAGAAAATTATCAAGATTTATACAATGCAGGATGTCCGGTAAGTTTTGACATAGAACTCATATGTAAGTAGAGTGGACTAAATTGAATAAAAAATCCTCTATTGTTTTGCAATTTTCGCTATTTTTTTTAGTTACTTATGAGCAAAATGTCTAAAATCGATACGTAAAACAAATTTAGGATATCTTTAAAAAGTTCTTTAAAAAAATCTTTAAGATATTTCATAAAAAACTCAGAAAAATATTTTAAAGTTGCCTTATGCGTCGAATTTATCCACTTATTCGACAATATTTAGAAATTAATATCTTGTTAACTATTGTGAAAATTGCAAAATGGTAGAGGACTTTTCGAGTCAGTTTAGTCCGCTCCATCTACATAAGCGTTTTATCAAAACTTACAGGACACTATATACTTTTGATAGGCAATCGATCTCCGGCAAGATAATAGTGGAATCTCTGGCAGGAAGAGGATGAGTTTTTTAATTCAGCATAAATCTACCGCATTTTTATCGGACGACTGACAACATGGCGTTTCCGATGGACGCTTGATAGTCTACTTTGAAGAAAATTGAATCAAAATAGTGACAAAACTGAATTCAATTTAATGTGTCAATTTACAATAAATGTCATAAATTAATTTTTAAACTAAAACTTTAAACAATGATTAATAAGATACCTCATATTTTTGGTCAAAGCTATATATTTTTACATATTTCCTGCATAATCACTCTACTATACATATTTCAATTGAAATTCTATAATTTCTAGAAATTTTTAGATAATCGAAAATGTGCTTTAAAATCTATATTAAAATATAAAGGCACTATTTTTGAAAATAAATTATCAATTTTTATGTGCTTAACACGTTTAATTAATAATAAATCCATATCACTGTTGTTGGTCATTGAAGATGAAGAATTAAAAAAGGAATCAGAAGAAAAGATTCATCTTTAAACATTTTTTTTATTAAATTATAATATTGCGTGCGTGCGCGCGTATTTGGTCATCAAAGACATGACGGATCTTAAAAACTCGACTTTGAAAAAAATCGAAGGTGCCAACGCTGCTTGTTCCTACTGTATATCCTTATACTGTGGTAGCAACTGATATATATATGAGTTGAGTATAATGATATATATTGAGTATGGTCCGATATATTGTATTAATGGCTGTGTTCCAAATTTACTGCCAGCGCTGAAAATTTACAATTTACGTTACGTGCATTATAGATTTTCAGTACCGGCAGTCAATTTTGGAACCAATAGCCATTGTCTCACGGTCCCGTGAGATGAGATGTGCTTTTTAACGCGACAGCACTTATTTCGCAGTCATCGACCGTGTTTACATTTGTACAAAGAAGGTGCCAAAGTGTCGTGTGCTCATTGGAAAAAGAAGCTTTCAATCCGTCCGAGGTTATTTTTCTTAGCTATTAAAAAACAGATTATCTGCTTAGAAGACCTAGGAAATAGAAGTAACTCATTACTTGTGTGTAACGAAGTTACAGTTACAAGTTATTTTTTTGGTAACTTTACTGCGTTACTTTTTTTGGTAATTATAACGATAATATATTATATTTTATTATGTTATATAATATATTATTATATTTTTTTAGTAACGGTAACGAATTTTACAGTTACTTTTACCATTACTTTGCATATGATTGGACACGGTTCAATTGGACACAAGCCATTTATTGCTTTTAAGACTAGAAAGCTTCTAGGCACTCGTCCGCTGTGATTGATGGTCGTCGATTTTAAAAAAGTAACGAAAAAATAACAAAAAGTTAGGGTGTGTTCCGTTGCATGCATTAAGTGCATAGATCACATTCAATGTGTTGTGCACATTAGGTGCATCCAGAAGCACAATTGACTCACTGAGCGCTCAATTAGCGGTGCTTCTGGATACAATTGTTAATATCGTTCCGTTTATGCACATGATAATGCGCGCTTAGAAACGGAACAGCTTTACTATGCGTTTAATGCAAATAAAAAAATGGATGTTACCATGGACAACAAGCTATTTACTATTAAGGTTATTACGATACGAGATTGTATATATTTTAATAGATACTTTGAGTCGCTGTCACAGCAGTTTCTCGGTTTACAAAAAGGGTGAGAACTTCGTTACTTCAATGACTGGAAATTAAATAACTTTCCATTATTATTACACTGTAAATCCGAGCAAAAGGCGCGGAAAAAAGACTTTTGAATTTTTTTTAGACGCATCAACTTCGTATTAAACACTTCACGTTCAAGCTGCTATAGCTGATGCACAAGAAGTGGAGAGAATCTAACAAAATCTGTGCACTATCGATATTCATTGATGCCCGCATTGATTGAAACGGAACGGTTCTCTGTATAGTCTATGCGTATTATGCGTGCAATGGAGCGCATCCTTACTTTCTCAACGGTAACTGTAACGAATTACTTTTAAAAATTGGTAACTAGTAATGGTAACTTGTTACTTTTTCTACTCGATAATGAATAACTGTAACTTATAACTTTTAAAAAGTAATTTTCCATTTCCTAAGATCCTCTCCTTCTTCTAACGTGAAAAAGATGCGTTACCCTCAATAACGATACGAAATAAACGTCCGCAGCCGAGATTCGTAGCGAAAACGTGCAATGAATTTGGGTATACGATTATGAATGGATAGTATATACATCTGTCGACAATCAGTGTATTCAGAATAAACAACCGCTCATTGAGTGCTTAGTGAACTCTTGCATCTGATTGGCATATTCCGTTAGAACTAAAAATATAGACCAAACAGATACAAAAGCTCACTGAATGTTCAGTAAGTGGTCATAGTACTGAATAGATGCATCTAGAAGCACGACCGCTTCAATCGTAAGAAATTGGCCAATCACAGTTGAATATGAAAAAAATAATCAACTACAATTTATTAATTTCTTATGGCTTACGACTTCCAACCCTATTGTAGAACAGGCATGAGTCGCATAAAGTCGGTCAGGTCATTTCTAATGTGTTGCAGAGGTAACCTGTTGCCAGACGCGAACATGCCTACGTGTAAACAACGCCGGGCGAGACGATATATGACCGTTTGCGCGCGATCAATAACAAACCTATGCGAGCCGCTGCTGCTGCTGCTGTTGCTATTGCTCGGAATGTTCAGCCGGGCCGGCTTGGACGACGCTAAATGATATTGACGATATGACGATTAGAGATCTGCTAAACGAGCGCAAATTGACGCAAATTCGTGCGGATAAGCCTTCTCGGATGATAAACGAACGGTAGATCTTGGGAACGTGGATGGAAGAAAAGGAGGAGATTCCATCGCAAAAGGAAATTATATGTACCATTGAAAATACGAACTTAAAATACCGCGGCTGTAGAGGCATCGCATGCAAACTGTCCTACCCATTCGCGATCTACGTCCGTCTCTCGGAAATAGAATTTCGCGATGATGATGACGCGAAAGCTTGGTCGCTACGTACAATTCAGACTGAGTACGCGAATCTTCTATGTTTTCGAACAAGACCGCGTACCCGTGCATCCTCAGCGGCAGTGGGTATATTACGTCGAAATGCGCAAAGTATACGCGCTACTTTCTCCGTCTTGTCGGTCGTGAAGAAAAAACGAGTCTGTCCTGGTCTCTTCTCGCGTGCACGTTTGTGCGCGCTGCGAGTTTCGAACGGAACCGAATAACAAAAGTAAATAAAAGAAAAAAAAAAGACTTCACAGAGAGGTAATTGCGGACGACAATCAAATGGTTTGCTTCGCTCTTGCGAGCCGAGCGAAAACAATGAAAAGCAATTACCTGTAGACTGTCGATGAGCTTCAGCTCTTTTCCGCGAAGAAAACGGGCGAGTCCGTTTGCGCACCAATAACACCTCACGCCATAAACTTCCCTCCCGATGATGAAGCGGCCCTCCCTCTAAATTTAGAAAATCGCCACCAATTACTGTAGACTGCTCGCCTCGTCTCTTCTCTCCTCTTCCTTGCCTCACGAGAAGATCTCGCAGAAATCGTTACATTCTCTATCTATTGGAAACTGCGCTCTTCCCTTAACGTCGCCAGATCGACAGCGGTGGTGGCGACGAATCGGTCACAGCAGCTAGTTAGCTACCGCTACCCTTTTGTTTCTTCCTTTTCTTTCTTTGCGTTTCTCCCTTCCTCAAGATATGAATTTTCACACGCGCACCCGCCTTTCCGATGTAAAAGACTGTGGACGAGTAAAAGCTGGTAAAGGTTGCTTCTATGTTGTACTAAATACGAACGTGCACGAGCTAGAGGACACGCCTCTGCGAGGCATGGCGCAGACTCGGATTCCACGCTCTGCAAAACGGCGAGTAACGACGAGCTCAAGGGAGCTTGTCGGAAGTGGTTGGAAGCAGTCGGAAGCCCAACGGAAACCCGTAGGGGCTTTTAACTCCAGGGAAAATATTCGATACGCGCAAGTCAAGTCATTCGCGGTGGCGGCACTAGCGGCAGTGGTTTAGTACGTCATCGTAAAGCGCAAGATCGCGGATATTTATAACGAAAAAAAACTTATAGTTCTGAATGATCGATCATAAGATCTTTCTTTACAAAATCACAACAATAAAATGATAATAGATGATCTATTCAGAAATGTGTATCAACCGGATGTCTCGCGAACAACATTCGAGCGGAAGATGACATAAAAATGGCAGCTTTTCAATGTTAGACTTCCTTCACAGAATCTGGCCATAACAAGGAATAATATAAAAGAAATCCGACATTTCTTTTCAAAATTGTACGAGTGAGATAAAATATGTTGTATGTCGCTCTATAGTGATGTGAAACGGAAAAGGTATATTCAAAGATATGTGCTATCTGATGACCAAACTGATTAGAGAATCTCTAGTCATTACACAGTACATGATTTAAAAAAGCAGTATTCTTTATTATAGAGAAAATTATCCCAGTAATTAATCGACAATAAAATTAATTTATTGCCTATTATGTTTCGTCCTTATATAATAAATCTCTATTTTAACTTCAATAAATTGAAAATAGGAAGCGATATACATTGAATATACATGTATCACAGTTGAGTATCATATTTCAGTCAAGAAATGCAATGGTAATATAAAATAAATTTATCAGAATCAGGCACTAGTACGTTTCTTGAAGGCAAAAGTAGCTAATAAAAAGCGCTGTAGATAACATAATTATTGTACTCCGCATGCATATTTCGCTTTTTAACAGTAAACTTGTGTATCGTTTAATCAATGTCGTAAGGCACTCTATCTCATCGCCACGGCTTCCGTACGGCTCCCGTGCTCGTGCTTCTCCTGATACCTGTAATTTAAAAGTATATTCAAGTACATCCATTACAGAAAATTAAGTGTATGACGAAAGCGGATGTAAAAAGCTTACACAATGCATTTGGTGACATAAGTCTGTCTCTGATATCCGAAGTCCACGTTTGACATCTGGATCTAACTAGATTCCTTTTAACGGTCGACGGTTGCTGGTATTTAGCCATTCTAAACAATAAGAAAGATATAATCTTAATAATGACAAGTGCAATATTGATCAATATGTGGATAACACAAAGCAAAAAAGTAAAGACTTTATTCAGATAAAGCAGGTCTTGGTTTCTTTAATAATATTTTTGTACTGTCATAATCTTAATAGTTAAACAATACAAAGCAGACGGAATTCTACAATATGTAACTACGAAAAAAGGAATATTCGTTTAAAATTTGTGTTTTAAATTTTCCACTGCTCGTGACATTTTAAACATTTTAATTGTTAACTATCTTTTGATTTATTTTACCAATTTCTTTTGTCCTTCCTTTTTTTTACATATATAGTTAAAAACATTTTATATCTATTAAAACCGATTCATGTTAAAATTTTTAATATATCTGAATGCTAGTTTAACGTATAATGTAATTGCGTTATTTGAATATTTTAGATTAAATTGATATTCAACATCTCTAATGGCTTCTGCTACTGGACGAGGAAACACTTGCCGCATGGGAAAATGCAACGCGGTAACCAATAATATTACGGGCTGTAAGCTACCGCATCACATTTTGCCGCGCGATAAAACATTTCCGCATCCAGTGTGCAAGAGAAATTAGTATTAAAATAACATAATTAATGAGTAAATGGACAAATAATATAAAACTTGTGTATTTTAAAACGTAAAAAATTTCTAAAATAAATGAACAAAATGTGTTAGGGCTCCTGAGCCCTACTCTAGTCATACGTAACGTTATAAGCGAGAAGTGTGTCATAAGTGATACGTTGATTTTTCTTGCCATTTGTAAATAAAGAGAATTTGGATGAAATGAAATAAGATCGCTTTAAAACACTTGTAAAAGTGGGCGAAAACTATCCTTAAAGACTATTCTGAAAATAGACTACACATGTGCATTGAGTAAAAACTAGTAAACACACTTTAAGTGCTTTTTTCGATTCTTTACTACTCAGGGAAGATTAGGAGCCTTTATCCATTTTTACAAGTGTTTTAAAGCGATCTCATCATGGTATGCAAGAAAAATCAATGTGTCATTTCTCACTTATGATTCAATATGGCTGAAATAATTGCTCAGGAACCTAAATTCTGTATATTATAAATGTTAATTTTACTGAAAAAATTATGCTTCCACAATTTACTTATAAATTGTGTTACATTTATTATACTAATTTTTTATACATATTTGTGTTACTTCTTAACATATTCATTTTATTAACGATTTAAATTATAGATTTATGGCGAATTCGAGCACTAGTGCGCACTGGTGCATATTAAAGCCGTTGTAGACTGATTTAATTTAAATATAAAATATTTCGAATAAAATACATATTTTATCTAATAGTACAATAAAATGTATTGAGTATTTCATTAATCGATTTCTATGTTTATTTATAAACATATCTTTACATTATTATGTGTACGACGATTTTAATGTGCACCAGTGCGCACTGAGTGCGTCCAATCGAATTCGCTATTAGATTGGCCGTTTAGGACACAAAAAATGTGTTAAATTTAATACAAATTTTCTTATTGCGTATTTATTTAACAGAGTTTTTGTATCATCACTTTTAGACTGTTGTGCTAGTCCAGAGATCAGTCAACCGACTGTATATGTAATAGTATTAATTCAAATTATAAGATCCAAGATCGATCACGTCATGTACTCTAGAGAGTGTGAAACTATTTTTAAATATATATAATGCTAAAGATGGCTCAAAATTGAGTCCAAACATATGTATCTTAAATAAATTTTATTCATTAATTTATTTTACGCACCGAGATCCGCGTCTGACTAATCAGTCCTTCTATCGAATTTTTTTTATTTAGAAAATGAAACTACGTTATTACGTGGATTCGAATTCCTTCAGGTTCTTTCTGGCTAAAGTCTTCTGAGTGGCGAACGAGTACGATCGAGCCGAAGTCGGGCGTTCCATTCGAGACTCCTTAATTTCGCGATCATGCGCGATTATTTTCATTCTCTTCGTCGGAGACTGGGCGAATAATTCCACTATATTCATAGAAGCTGCGTCGCACTTGAAAATATTAAATCGTTAAATTATTGTATACTCTTAACTAAAAGTCTGTAAATACAAGCAATGAAATAACCCAAGTAGACAGTTAAGTACAATATAAATGTTACATTATTAATTGCGCTGTTACTGATAAAATAAGTAGCATATTGCCGCAATTCTTACAGCATCGAATATGCTGGGAACATTCATGTCGTATAAAATAGCATCTATCTGTGTAAGCAGGATATTGCCGCATTTTTTATAGCATTAGAATAACTCATGTGTATGTTAGAAACATTCATATCATATGAAGACGAATCTTTGAATATTTATGCAATTATTTTCAATGTTCAAATTTCGTCACTATACAGACAATATGCAAAATTTATCTACTTGGGAATTTTATAAGCAAAAAAAAACGAGTAATTACTTGCAACTGAAGACGATGAAGAAACTCCACTTCTGCCAAGTTTAAGGGCGCGTCTACATGTAATTTAAGCATACATTGCAACGCCTCTTTATATATCTTTTTCAATGTAATAACACGTTCGGTACGCATTAATCTGCGTATTAAGTAACCACGTGTATAAGCGTTGATGGTATTCACTGCCTGTACCTATATACAGTAATATAATTTTAGTATCTTTTTTTAACAACGGAAACATTATGATTATAATGTTAAAATTGCAATTTGTACTCACATGTTTATCGAAATACACCATGGTGTCTAGTACTGGTATATGCGTAGTATTACTATCTAAGGGAAATAATTGTCGACTCACATTGGAATTCTTACATACAAGATCGCGCGACTCGCAATGGTTGTTATCGTCATTACTGTTATTATTATTATTATTACTGTTATTGTTATTGTTATTATTATTATTATTATTATTATTATTATTATTATTATTATTATTATGCGTAGTATCATATAAACTCACTTTTCTCGTAAAGTCAAATTCGACAGTCGTCGAAGAATTGTCCGCAATAAAGGACTGATATTTAAGCAGGTGTAAATTTTTCGAGGAAATATAATCCAACGGACATACAATCATTTGATTCGCTGACGGTAATTTAATGTTATAATGCATTTCAGCATGTATATTACTCGGAGTGTCTGTGTCCATTTGTTGCCTTGCCTCGTGATTAGTTGATTTTGCTTCGTCGCTCGACAACGATCGATTCAAATTAACGTTCAACGCATTTGTTTGATATGAGATTCCGGAGGCACACTTTCGTATTTCTGCTAACAGAAGTATTTGTTGCTTCTGAAATTCTGCTTGTAATAACGATTGTTCTTTTCGCTGACGATATATTAGCTCCATCATCTGCTTCTTGTGCATTTCTTCAATCTCTTTATAAACCATCAAGAGTTTATCTGGTGTGGAAGACTTTGTTTTATTGGCTGAATCATGATATTCTGCAGTATTCTCCTTTTTATTATGCAATCCCTCATCTATATAAGACAAATGAATTTTAGGACTATTTGTATACTTGCTACTCAACACATTTGACACATCAATGTCACTATTTTTCTCTAATTTTTCTAGAGAACTTTGCTTCTTAAAATCTGTATACCTATGATTATATTTAATTGGTATGGCATCGGGTCTACATGCATCTTCCTCAACGATTACCATTTTAGTATAATTAGTAGATTTATTTACTTGATGTGATTCTGTCGAATCAGATTCTCTATACTGGGAAGTTGATTGTTTGGATGTACATTCTAATTTGCTTAAATCTTGAATGTGTTCAACCATAAACTGTTTATTTTCCCATTCTGCCTTAGGCTGCGCAATGTTCC